TTCTTTCTTCACATTAGATAAAACCGCCATTACTTCATGTGCCTGGAATATAATAAACCATCTTTCTGCACAATTTTGTTTTAAATATAAAACAAATTCTGACCTCAGGGCCAAACCAGAGGCCAGGCTTCTAAACTTGAAACCTATTGGACAAGCCAAACAAACAAACGAATAAAAACAACTTTCTTATATTCCTGAAAAGTCACCAAATGATTGAATCCATACCTAAATTCAAAGATTCACATTGTTGTTTTATACTATAATGTACATGGAATACAACAAACAAAATTAGAAGTAAATCCATGTCTCTCGATAAAAGAGTTGGAGGGGCCTGCTCTTATAGCCCAGTCTTACACAGGACTACCCTCGGCCGGTTAAAAGATGTCCCCAGGCGTGGAGTCAGCACACCTTAAGTGTTTCCAGTAGGGAGGTCGGTGGACCAGAGTAAATGACGCTTGTATTTTATTTAACACATCAGATCTAACAGTAGTTATGACTCAAGTAAGATGAAATATGAACAGTCCCCAAACATACTACTAAAAAACACACTCCAGCTTTCCTGAAGAACTCTCCAAACCCGCACTTCACAACTTTCAAACCACTTAGGATACCAAAACATGACCACCACCCCCCTTTTTTCTTTTTTAAGTAGGCTCCACGCCCAGTGTGGGGCTTGAACTCACAACCCTGAGATGAAGAGTCACAGGCTCTACCAAGTGAGCCAGCCAGGTGGCCCAGACAGCCACCTTTTAATGGTAATTTCTTTTTCCTTCCTTCTCTCTTTCTGAGCAATAGTCTTTTTTTGTAAGCAAGAATCTTCTTATTACACATCAAATATTACGTGGAAAGCTTGTAACAGATAAAAAGAACAGGTGCTTTGATGAGAAAGTGTAACACCCTTTCAGCTTGTCTCTTCCTATCTCTGACTGGAGCCCAAATCCTGCCTGCCTCCAACCAGAACTTAGGAATACCAAGGGCTCCCAAAACACCTAACACCTGTGTCTTAAGTGTTATGACATATGAGCTAAACACTGCAACCATGTTTGATGTAAAACAGTAGTGATCCTTGGAACCATCTGAGACCCACTGTCCCAAAAAAGTGTTGTAATAATATAATTATTAAACAATTGTAATAACGTAATAAGTATATAACCATTACGATGATATGAAGTGTTGGGGAATCAATCTACCATAAGATTTACACACTTCCTCTGTTATTTTGGTAAGAAGTATCTGTTGGCAATTAAATGTATTTTTCTTCAAATATGTTATTCTGCTTCGAGAGCTAATGCTCCATGGGCCTCTCTCATTTCTGTGCCTCTCGGAGGCAGGGATAGACCTTGTTCTGGACTTTTTCTTTTTTAAGATTTATTTATTTTGGAGAGAGAGCATGCATGCATGCAGGGGGGAGGGGGAGAGGGTGAGGGAAAGAGAATCCCAAGCTGACAAACCACTGAAAGTGGAGCCCAACAAGTGGCTCAATCCCATGACCCTGAGATCATGACCTGAGCCGAAATCAAATTGGATGCTTAACCAACTGAGCCACCCAGGAGCCCCTGGACTATCTTATTAAGGATGTCTGGATAGCAAACAGCCTTGGAAAATAGAGACGCTGTCTCTCTGAAGCAGGTCTGTTTCATACAGAGCAAAGCACAGACAAGTTTGCTTGAAGCCCATTTGTGGGTTCCCCCGAGATTCCTCAGCTATGACTTGAGCCCACTGTAGGAGCAGCCTCCACCTGAGCCACACTGCCCCCATGAAGCTGGTGGGGGGGGGGTGTTGTCCTGGAGAACAGGGAACTCATGGCTTGCCTGTTCTGAGTAATGAAGTCCTTTGTCTCTGGTCCAGGAGTCTCGTGTCTACAACTACCATGCAGGAATCAAGCAGACTGTCAGCCTGCAAGTACAGTAAAATCTCAGACCCTCCCCAATTCTTGCAGCTTTGGGTGACAAGGGTAGGCAGCTAACATGGCTTTCTAGAGAAGAACAAATAAGGGCCCACAAGGTTGGGTTAGGGGCAATGAGAAAACTCCCAAGATCTAGCAGGGAATGCTCTTACCCAAGCAGTAGGCAAGTGGGAGAAGTATGAGTCCCCCAAGGACCTGACGTGCTAATGCCTGTCAGAGGCTGAGCTACAGGTGGAGCTTGGTCATAGCCCCTTCTCCCAGAGAGTAGGGGTGTTATCATGTTCGTGTAACACCAAGCCCTACAAGGCCAACTAAAAAGACTATGATTACAAGGAACTATTTTTCTTGTATACTTTGTCCTTTTCTGTATTTTCCAAATTTCACAGAGTGAATGTGCAGGGCTTTAAGTAATATGAGAACAAATTAATGTTGTTTTTAATTCTTAATTTTTTTCTTAAAAGAACTAACTTCCAAGAGATTGACACTCAGAAAAATAATTTTTAAAATATCCAACTTCAGTTTATGAGACAGTATAGCGAGCTAGTTCAGGACCCCAACTCCAGCAACAGACTGCTTGGGTTCAAAGCCTGGTCCCATCACTGACCAACTGTGTAACACTGTGCAAATTTCTAAACCTCTCTGTGCATCAGTTTATTTCTTCATAAAATAGGTTTATCCCTACCTTATGGGGTCATTATAAGGATCAAATAAGTTAAAATAAGTAACATGCTTAGCATTAGGCTAGGTGTTTAGTAAGCACAATATAAGGGTTAACTGTAACGGCTCAAATTACTGCCTTTGTTTTTAAATTTTCCAAGGCTTTGTAGTTCACCTATCATTTGTGTTTCTGGATTAAATTTATTTCTCCTAATGCCAGCTTATCAACTTCTTCCCATCAGTCACCTATCATTCACAGACCTGTAAGAAACAATCTCATGTTTCTTGATGAACACCGGGTACACAAGCATTTCTTATCATTTCCCCTGCCATGATGATTAACATACCAGCTCCTAATGAACTTAACTTCCATGCTACTACAGCCCAGCACATCCACTAGCCTGACTCCCTCGTCTCTCAGACCCATCCTAAGATCTCAGACTGTGAGACTGCTCCATATTTCTCTGATACCTCGGGTCCTCTAACCTACACTGTGTCTTCATCATTATAACCTCCACTCCCTCAATCCACCCAACTCCTCCAATCAGTCTTGTTTTCACTTGCTTAAACCCTATGTCGAACTGTGTATTTTAATGATAATCCAGTACCAATAATATTCTAATATTCCTGGTCCCTTTGATTTCCACCAGACTACCTTAATTCCACTGGTGGCTCATTCCTTTGAATTCTCAGTCCTGTGAAAGAAATTTACAACATCTTGAGAAACATGTGCTACTACATTCCAAAGTGGGTCTTTGCTGTTACCTGGCAATACTTATGCTGATCTCTGGCTAACGATTCCCTCAATGATTTTTTAAATGTTTTCCATTCTCCTTGACCCTAAATCTCATCCCCTGCTTTCTAGCAAATTGCAGCTGCCCTCCCCTCTTCCTTAGTAAGACATAACTGGGGAGACTGCACGTCCCTCAGCTTCCTTCCCCTATCTCTGGTTTCTCTGTCTCCATTCTTTCTTTCATTCTTTATATAAAGGAAAATGCCTCAGATCCCTTTTGTCCACGGCTCAGGCTTAGATGTTCATCCTTTCAACATGCCGGATTAGTGCTTCTCAAACTGCAGCATATGTCAGCATTACCAAGGGGCTTGCCAATCCCTGAGAACCAGCCCAAAGACACTTCAGTCAACTCTGACGAAGCCAGTTCGTGTGATGAAGACACCAGGTAGACCGCTCGGTTCTTCCCCTGGGTGATCTCGGCTCCTCACGTCACCAACGACTCTAAAGTTTCTATCTTTAGTCCAAATCTCACCACTGAGACCAAGATCCATACGTCTAAACTGCCACCTCCCCTCAAGTATCTCACAAGTACATAAACAATTCTAAAGTCAAACTCATCACTTTATCCCCTAAACAAGCTCCTTCAGTGTTACATACCCCAATTAATGGCACCATTAGCCACTGTTTCTTCCAGATGCTGCAAACATCCTTATCATCCCCCTTGCTGCTGCACCCTCTCTCTCTCTCTCTCGCTCTCTCTCTCTCTCTCACACACACACACACACCTTGGACTCTGATCTATTCAAACACCAAGTCCTTCTGATTCTACTGTGTCATTACAACTAAATCCATCCACTTCTCTTTCTGCCACTACATCCAACTCACCTGGACAACTCCCTACTTTGCTAGCTAGTAGTCCAAAATGCAACTCTGAACTCTTTCTGCCTGACCTGTTGCCTACATTGCAGTGGGAATGCAATCTTTGCAAAACACAACTCTGATCGTGTCACTCTTAGTCAGAACTTGCTAACAGAAGTACAGGCCAGCAACAGGGAGACAGGTGCATTAATGCAACAACACATAAACATCAAATCTCATTAGCATCACTTCTAAGAAAATGAGGTGCTATACACATAGATCCTTAAAGCTGGG